CAACTAAATGTTGCTTTATTATAGTTTAATATATAAAAATAAAATAAAAATCAAAGCTACTAATATACGGAATGGATATTAGTATAATGACACTGTACTATATTATTATAATACGTGTATATTGTACTGTAGAAAAGATATAGAAACTTTCTAAATATCAAATGAGACATGAGTTTTATAAAATCAATGTATTAAAATTAAATAGAAATCTTGAACTGTCTAATGGCAGTGTAGATAGTGCCAATAAAATACAAGCTTTAGTTGTTAGGGATGCAACTACCTGAAAATATATATACATAGGCATACGAGAAGGAAAAAATTAGGGGGGCGGAAAGAAATTTGCCCGACATTTTTTGGATTGTGCCTGAGTTGTCCAGTATGGAATGTAACTTTTTCGTGCACTGGACAAGAAGTTGATCATTTTTGTGTGCACCATTGGTTTGTCTAACCAGCCAAAAATTTGTGCACCACCGAATTTTTCACTTCCTTAAATCTCATGCCGATTGCCAAAGGCACGAGACGATCTCCAAAGATGCAAGACACCTGGGGGGGGGGGGTGCAGGAGCATGCACTCCTGAGAAATTTTTAAATTTAAAGTCTCAGAAATGCCATTTCCTGGACTTTGGCGGAAGATTTTACACAATTCTGATGGTAAGAAAACAACATTATAAAATCCAAAAAGTCAATTTTTTCTTGGAAAGTCAATTTTTCTCGTAAAGTAAAGCCTTCGAAATATTATTCAACTCAAAGTTTCTAGTGCTCAGCAGTATGTAAGCGTACTTCATTTAGTTTACGTTATATTGGATCCTGGGTCCATAGATCAAAAGGGAATATACTGTCCAATACACATTCCAGATACTTTCCAGAAATAAGTTTTACTAACTTTTGCTGTTAAATCTATTTGACGAATTAATATTCTGAATCCTGAATTATGCACCAGTGCGCCACCCTTTCTTAACTTGTTATGTGTGCACCAGATGTGCATAACAGATTACTATTGTAAAATTTTGTGCACCAATGAAGGGTGTTGTGCACCGGACATGTCCGGTGCACAACACTTACATTCCATACTGGCGAGTTGTCAAAAAAAATTTTCCGCAGAAACTTTCCAAAATTGTTGT